AATTTAAGAATATAGTCTTTTTCGATAGTGAGATATATATGTTTTTCCATAGAGGCTTTTTATATTCTAATCAGTATATATTCTCATCAATATTACCATTTAGAGGATTTTCCTCTTAAAATAAGAAACTCTTCTTGGCGCCTATTTTAGTATAAAATATACTTAAAGTAAGTGGGATATCTCCTCAAAACAAGAATATAATTTTTTCGGTGTAACATCGAACTGTGAATACTAACCATAAAATCTGAAGCTCGACTCGCGTTACTGTACGCTAATTAAACTTTCGAGCATCAAGGACACGAACTGCGTTCCCTCGCAAAAATTCCGAGATCTTTTGCCATTAAGACTTTGACGCCCGTCATTCAAAACCCATGCGCAATAATAACGACGACCAATGAATGCAGAAAGTAGAAGCCAAATTTTACATTGTCAATTGTTTACAATTCAACACAAACACGTTTTAACATTTATTATTTTTTTATTATTATTTTGTGTGTATTACACATATTTTTTACATTTGTCGAGAGAGAGACAAACATGTCAGGAAGTTGGAACAGTTAATTTGAATATATCTTGAAAAAATTTATGCAATCGTTAAAAAACAAATTTTTCTACCACACACAGTGTTTTCTCGCAAAGTTGTTGCGACCAGCGCAGGTTAAAAAAATTTGTGCAATTAATAATTCCATTTTGTCCTGATAATTTTATTAAGAAAGATTAAAGAGAATTCTAGAACTTCGTCGCGCAAGAACAAAGTGAATGTTTTTTTTTTTTTTTTACATTGTTATATGGCTTCTAATTTCTTTGATCAACTGACAAATTGTCGTCCGATGTTTCTACGTAAAAGCGCGCTGGATCACACCAAAGTTCGGTCCAACACGCCTTCGAGCAGATCCGATTCCATTTGCAACAGATCGGAACCGCCGTAATCGAGGCTGTCGAAGCTCACAACGGATGTGGGCGAGACTATGGGGGTTGTTCCGCTGCTACCGCCGCCGCCGCCGTTGCCACCGCCGCCGGTAAAGAGACCTATCAAATGTTTTCTCGTGTCCGGACTGAGATGATCAGGCAGAGACAGTACGTTGCGGGCGTTCGTAGATTGCGGTACCATCTGGTTGTCCACGTTGACGGTCAACGGGGTTGTTAGGCTCTTCGGCAGCAAGGTCGGCACATTGCGAGAATTTATCAGAGGATCCTGAAAAAAAAAAAAAAAAAAGTAAAAGATGTCGTCATGTAACGTATTATCGAGGGATCTACTGGATATATCTTATAAATGCGCGAAAAACAAACGTTTGTTTTGCGAACGTAAGAAAAGATACTGATAACGATATATAACTGCGTTTCGTGATGAAGGAAAATAGTCGGGCGGGAAAAACTGATCGTGATGATAACTGAATGATAACTGACACGCTTCCCCAATGAATTTATAAATTGTTCAGCGTGATAAACGACTTTTGAGAATTCCACCCTTCGTCGTTCGCGTGACTCTGACGTTTTAATGAATGTAAACAAATTACTTGGTGGTCAAAGTGACCGTAATTATACACGCTGCTAGATAATTTAGCGCGCACACTTCGCAAAGGTAAGTCTCCCGCAGACAAACTGCCTAAAGAAGTCTTGCCGGATAAAAAAAATAGTGACTCATAACGTGAATTATTAATATTAATAATTCAGTAATTATTATATAATCCAATTAGTAATTGATTGATATTTTTGCGATAAATTTGAGCACAAAACTATTATGAACTCACAAAATCTATTTTTGTTGACTTATATAAGCAATCAAAACTAAACTTAAAGTCAAAAATAAAGATCCATGGGACAGAAACATAAATAAGTTTGTAATTCTGGTAAAAAAAATTAAGTATTTTTTTATTCCTACATGTGGTTACATCAATTTGTTGTTATTTTTATTCAACACTGACGTTTTATTGTTTAATCAAGAGACTTTATTGAAAAAAATTCAAGTGTAATATACACAAGTTTTATCCAAAAAGGTGATAACTTTTTTGATAAATTTAATAGTAAACTTGCAAATTGTTGGATGGATAATTGTGGATTTTGAAAGGATAATAATATGTATATATATGGTAAGGAAACGAAACGCAGTTGATTCACGATTCCATTCGACGTTCCATGTATTTTTTCATAACATTCAATCAACAATTCCATATACTTTGCAATTTGTGTACATAACGTGGATTGTAAAGTACAATTTTTTTGTGTTTAACCCTATAATGCACCTCGAAGTAACATTGTAGATATATATATATAATTTTTCTCTCTAACCACACACATATATAACTCTAGAAGTATCCTAGTGTTAACAGATCTTTTTCTTTCTCTTTTTCTCTATTATTATATATACGCTATAATATTTCGTATTTATCTTCGACGAGAAAAAAAAACAAAAAAAAAAAAAAAAAACAAAAAAAAAACGTAATTAGTGTCTAAACTATACGCGCGTTCCGTACAATTACACAATAGTTTATATATCTTGTATATCTAGAATAAATATTAGACGCAGTGCATTTTAGGATTAAACAACCCGAGCGCAACTATCTTTCGCTCGTTCTTCTCTTACGACTCTCGCAACAAATTTCGTCTTGTGTGGGTCTTTTTCTTTATTGCGTCTTCGATCTTGAACGCGACCTTCGAGCTCGCGGGCTCGACGAACAATTGGACGACGCTGTAAAAAGCAGGAAGAAATTTTCGTTGATTTTCGAGCTTCGAGTGCAATCAGACATCAAGACCGCCGCCTCCTCTGGTTCCATCTGTCCAAGATATCTATATTTTCAAAAAATCTATTGCATCGTTGGCAACCAACAGTTGAACAGTTTTGTTTCAATCTAAGTCAAGTTTGATATATAACATCGACAACTCCGACCAAAATAAAAATTCAATTGGCGAACTTTTCGATTCCTTCCAACATAAGTTCTTTCGGATCGAAATAAATCCCATCTCGCGATATTTCGTTCTTTCTTCGTTCTCAAAACTACTTCCGTTTATTATCGAAAGTTTATCTCTCTGTCTCTCTCGCCTTGGGTGAATCAACAGAGTTGAAATAGCAGCCAGACGGAGGCGACTCTTTAAACCGTCACTTCCTCCCATCGGAAAAACATCCTCACGCGTTCGCGACGTTCTTTCTTGCCGTCGGTTTCGACTTTACCAAACAAACGTATCCCGCACTCACATCGCAGCCGGAAACCAGGAGATTCATTAACACGCTGCTGCCGCCGCAGATTGGAGTTCGGCCACGGCTCGTCACGTCTATCTTGTTGAAGCCGTCGCTTTCGCCGTCGTGATTTCCGCCACCACCTCCTCCTCCGCCACGGTCGCCCTCCGTCCCGGCGAGGTCGATAATGTCGTCGAGAACGCGAATGTGCTGCTGCAAGACATCGCGACGATGTTCGCCGGAAGTGCCCGTATTGGACGAAGACGATGCGACGACGCTCGGTATTTGGGATGTTACGAGACGACGTAGAAGCTGGCTGCTGTTATTACTGTCGTGATTTAACGACGATTTCTTGTTAAGAATCGACATACGCTGCTGTCTCGACAGCGTATCTTCGAGATTAATGCGCTGGAAAAGCGAATCTTCGCATTTGATACGTTTGTGCTCGCTCCCGGAATCCGCGTTGAGCCCGGAATGAATGCGTTTGCTTGGACGATCGTTACGTTCCTGATTGGAGGACCATCGATCGGACTCGAAGGATCGCTGCTCAAGATCTGCAAAAAAAACAAAACAAAACAAGTAATGAATAAAAAAACAAGAACGTCACAAAGAAAACAAAAAATATTGGAAAAAAAAAAAACAGATATTAACTTTTCTTCGGTGTCTGTCCGAAGGCCTGAGGCGAGGTCACCAGACCTCCGCCGTGATCGTTGTATCGTCGCGACACCGCTTGATCAGTCCGCAGTAATTGCGCCAAACTGGATTCAGACGAATGCTGCTCACGATCTTCGAGTAACCTAACAAAAATAATAGAAAAATATATCAATATTTTATATCATGGAGGTAAATATCATATTAATAAAAATGAATATAATATTACCCCCCCCCCTTTATATAAATATTATAAACATTTATAAATTTTCAACAAGAAATATATAAGGCTGTACGAGCTATTCGCAGGATGTTTGTGCGGAAAACTGTGCGTGTATATACAGGGTGTCCCAGAATTGCCGTACAATCTGTCGTAGGTAGGTAGAAGGAGTAGAACCGAGTCGAAAAGTCCTGAACCATTTTTTTCTATTACTTATAATAAAGAAGTAATTATTGAATAAATCAAGCCAATCAGCACCGACCTTTAGCCGGGCGCACGTCAGTCAACCATGCGTCTGATGTGCGTGAGCGCTCCGCGCGGCTCACTGACGTGCGTCTGGCTAAAGGTCTGCGCTGATTGGCCTGATTTACTCAATAATTACTCCTTTATTATAAATAATAGAAAAAAATGGTTCAGGACTTTTCGACTCAGTTTTACTCCTTCTACCTGCCTACAAGAGATTGTACGGCAATTCTGGGACACCCTGTATATATATACACATGTAACGAATTCTACTTGTAAAGGGGGGTATCTTAGGGGGGTATCCGGGGTCTTTCATATGTGTGATGCAAATCCAGCATCCCGTTTGAATTTAAGAATTGAGATTTCAATTAAAAAAACACTCACTTGTAAAAATTTACAAGTAGAATTCGTTACATGTGTATATATATATTAGGTCTACCGGAAAGTTCTGTCCGTTTTTGGAATAAAACAAAATACAAATTTTTCTTAATTTTTAAAAAATGGGATATACAAATTGCCCTCACGCTGGCAAGAAATCATTAATAATAATGGCAATTATATTATTTAATCAAGTTTATTGACGGTAAGAAAAATTTGTATTTTTTTTTATTCCAAAAACGGACAGAACTTTCCGGTAGACCTAATATATACACGCACAGTTTTCCGCACAAACATCCTGCAAATAGCTCAATACAGCCTTATATATTTCTTGTTGACAATTTCGACGAGCCTTAAAAGTCTTTATTATAAATTTTACATCTATACTTTTAAAATTCACATGAAACGACATTTACCACTTCGATGATCCCTTGTCGGAAGACTGTGACGTATCCCACATGGCCATGTCGTTACTGATGAGCAGATCCAACGCCTCGTCCTGATCTGACATCGGAATATAAGGCGCTCTAAGTGCCAGTTCGTCGTCTCCTATATTGTCGCTGATGCCCAACATGAGCATCTCGTCCTCGGAGAGTCCGTCACCGCTGCCCGCTGTAGGACTGTCCAGCGAGTCCACACTTCGATCAGGACTCTGTGCAATTATCATTGTACATGTAACACAAATGCTCTGTCTCTCTCTCTCTCTCTCTGTAGAAAAGATATACGAATTTTTCTCGTCGTTTACCTGTCGATATTTTGATAAAGACGGCGATACGCTGCTCGTGTCAATACCGCATGGACTTCCGGGCGAATCTCCGTACATAAAAGGATCACTGTCGGCCAAACGATCGGCCGCATTTTTAGTTCTGGTTGTGTCTGCTAGGTCTGTGTCTTTAAGAGACTCTGATAGGTCTGCGGAACGCAGTTCCGGGGTTAAACTGTCACCCGGACTCAGCAAGGGGCAGCTGTAGGTGTCGTTACCGAAGATAAACTCGTCTAGCATATCCGACAGGAAAGGTGTGTCTTCCAGGGGCACGCACACGTCTCCGGGTGTGGGCGCGAGGTGTGTCAGATCTTCCGGCTCGTCTTTCAACACTGTGAGGTGAGAGAGTGTTCAATTTATATTAATTAAGCAACATTTGATTTGAAATTCTTCATCCGTCCGGCCAGTTATACATTAAAAATGTTTTCGACAGAAGAAGACGGATGTCGCGTCAACAGACAATACGTACTTGTGAGCCCCGGCTGATCCTCGCTGAAAGTCAAGAAGCCTTTGTTCATGTCCTCGGTACGAGGCGCGAAGATGCTCGCTGTGGCCGTCTGTGGAGGCGGGCGACACGACAATTGTTGTTCCTGTTGTTGCTGCGCGGGCACGAGCGGCGCGAACAGTTGTCTTGTGACCGCTTGCGGACGATCTTGATGACACTGGTCGTCGGCAATGTCTGAGGAATCGCGCTCGACTGCCGATTTGTCCTGAAACGACGACCGATCGCGAACGATTGATTTTTAAAGGTGAAAAGGCCAGGGATGCGTTATTATGGCGCGAGATAAGAGCGATAATCCATCCTAGAACTCGATATATATATATATTGACGCCACAAGAATCAACTCACATGTTTGATTGTATGTGCAGGCACAAGCGTGTATATAACTCTGATACAATATTCTCGATTGAAAAATAACATAAGTATTACTTTACAAATCTGTTTTTATTATCCGCAATATAAATAAATGCACTATAATTTCGGTAATTCAATGTCCCCAATCGCTTGTGTGTTGTTATTTCAAACTTACACGGGATCTTCGAGATATTGCTTATTTTTACTTTTATCGTTTGCAAGCGATAAGAAATATAAGCACCGGAATTATATCCCGATAAGTGATATAGCGATCCGACAAACATGTCGAATAATTGAGACGAGATAAAACAAAATTTTAAAGGAAGTTTCTAATATTTTTTTCTACTATTTTATATATATTACCGCTTGTATATCGTCAAAACAAAATAACTGGCATTTAATAAATTATTTACTCGCGAGATGTATATAAATGAAATTTCGAAATTTTTCACACAATCAATTTTTTTATGTACCTGCAGTATAAAGGACGTCGCGAACGACGGCCGGGATTCCTCCAGTCGATCTCCCGTGGCCGGCTCGTCGTTCTCCTTCAGCGACTCCTTGATGGATTCCTCGAGGGATTCCTTGAGAGCCTGGACGAACGCCTTCTCTTGAATCGGTTTCGGTAACGCGTTATTATTATTATTTTTGCGCAATCCGTTGTTCTTGTTGTTGCAATTGACTTTTCCGTTGGCCGAGCGGAATATGGACGCAGTGACGGCAAGCGGTCGGTCCTCGTTCTTGACGGATTCCTCGTCAACGACCACCGACTCTTTCGCGGCTAGGTTCTCCTCGTCGTCCAGCACCACGTGACTCGCGTCGGTCGACACGGCGGTCGGCACCAGGGCCGGCAACGATTTCTCCGACTTCACCAGATCGGCGTCGCCGATGTTGCGCGCGGCAAGCTGGCGCACGCTGTACACCTCGTCCTCATGCTCGACCCCACTGTAATCAAAATCATGAACCGCTGCGGTATGGATAAACGTGCCCTCATTCTGAAACTCGTTTATTATCCCGAAACTTGACCAGGGAGAAATGAGAGATTTGCGGTAAGCAAACGTTTCGGGGTGAGATTCACCGCGAGAGAAATTGTTTTATTACACCCACGTTGCAAAAGAAAGTAATTAAACATTTTTGCGTATATACACATTTTACTTTGTTGTCAGGGGAAGATCATGGAAGAAAAGGAAAATTTAAGGCGCACTCAGTCAAGTGTTCGGAGGATACACCGAAAAAATTGTATTCTTGTTTTGAGGATATCCCACTTACTTTAAGTATATTTTATATTAAAATAGGCGCTAAGAAAAGTTTCTTATTTTAAGAGGAAAATCCTCTAAATAGTAATATTGATAAGAATATATACTGATTAGAATATAAAAAGCCTCTATGGAAAAACATATATATCTCACTATCGAAAAAGACTGTATTCTTAAATTAATAATATATTCTTA